CCTGGTCAATTCTGTCCTAAAAATCTGAGGATGAAAAATCAGCTAATGATTCTGGCAGATCAGCCTCCCACATGAATTTTGTTTGAGTCTAAATTCATGAACCAGGGATCTTTCCTTTGAACTTCATTTCCTCTTCAGAAATAGTTCAAAGCAGTTGGAGAACATGAATGCCAAAATCAAGCCTGAAAACCACCACAGCCTCACTTTAAAACACTTCATTTTTCTCCTGAGAGTTCTGCTGTTGCTTTCCATGGCTTGTCAAACAACCCCGTTCAGATTTAGCACAGAATCTGCTGTTCCCATTCATCACGAGTCTCAGGACTGAGGCACTCCAGCTGCTCCAGGGCTATACCCTTAAAAGTGATCTTGCTGTGATTTTACAACAGCCTGTTGTTATGACCTTGGCTATTTTTGACAAAGAGATAAAGATGAAATAGGTTCTTGTTCCTAATGACAGCTTGTACAAAACATCCTTTCCAAGGAAAACTATGTTATCCATATGTATACCTTATGGATCAGGCTATGCCAGACAGCAGCACTATAATCTCTCTCCCCAGGTGACACAGCAAGAAAAATGGTTTGGCGTTATTATGCCAACATCTCTTTAATTGCACTTTGGGAAAGTACTGTGTTTTCTCTCAAAACTAATAACAAATCAAACACTTTGAAAACCACTTTATTTTTTCACTACAACCTCTGTGTTCGTTTACTTGGAAATTTCTCAACCTGGCACGCACAATTTTGGAAGATTTTTGCTTTTAATTTGAGGTTCTTGCCCAGAACTTTCTTTTTCCTACCTGTTGCCTCATTTTTGAGACTGTCCTATTAACCAGAAAGATTTCTGTAACCTTCCTCACAATAAATAATGCTCATGAGAATCAAAATGGTCTTCAAAAATTACCTGATTAACATCTGGAAAGAATGATCACCTTATTCCTCATAGGCCTGATGATTTCAATTAAAGCTTTGTATTAATTTCACTGAATTTTTTTAGCTGTTCCTTCAAAACTAATTTAACAACCACCTAAATACTTAAAGCAGATGAAAAGTCCTATTTGTGTAAGGATAAGCTTACATTCTTTGCTGGATGGTGGCTTAAGGGCCTGTAAATAATACAGATGGCTGTGAGCAAGACCCAGAAGAGGCCAGGTAACCACCAACAGACAATTATATCCCCATCAGAACTTCAAGCCAGTATATCATACTGGTTGAAACTAATTGCTCTGAAATAATTGGAAAGGTGAGCAGGTAAGTTCACACAGAGCATTTGCAATCTTGCTTTGTATTTAAAAAACCAACAGTGCAGATTGCATGGACAAAACAGGCATGGTTCAATAAAACAAGTTAAAAGGGAAGGGAAAGGTATGCAGTGGTCTTTAAAAAGGACTTTCCTTTTAATTTTTAGCATCATTAAAATGCTGAAAACATTTTGTTCAAGAGCTTCTTTAGTTAATACCTCATTACTTCTCTTTTATTGTTATGGTAATCAAGCCTTAATATATTGCAGCTTTATAGCATGAAATCAAGGCTAGGCCTGTGGGCATGGACAGATGTACAACAGCATGCAGTAAAACACAGGTACAGAGACATGCAGAGCTGAATATGGCACTGGGGTTTTTTATAATTGTTTAGCAATTCATCTGAAGTTATTTTAACCTTGACAACAGATGAACTCTAACACGTACCGTGATCAGTCACTGGAAAGCTGCGCTGAAAAGCAAGTTTTGTAACTGTTGTCTTATAGGCTGGGTTCTAGGAAAGCATGAACCCAAATCTGAGCAAGATGATTAAATTGTTTGCATGACTACAGGCTGTAGCTGTAACTATTCAAAACATTTAATTGAGAATATTTTAGCCAAGGGAGAATGGTAACATTGGGGAACTGCATTTTACACCAGAACTTTGCCTCTGTTGTAAATTGGGGCTCAGTGTCAGCATTCAGACCTTCTCCAGGCATAGGTACACCAAGAAAGAATATTTGGATCTGACTTCTGGTTCTGAAGTGACACTTGGACCTTGTGCTGGAGCTTTGCTAATGGTTGAATTTCACCCATGAAATCAAGTGAAAGTTAGAAATAACTTTTAGAAAGTTATAATGGCTGTGTCTGCAGGGTGTTGAAATTGTATCTCAGGAAGAGTGAGCATCCTTAGATCTTCCCTGAGTAAATGACAACACACGACCCCCAGTGTCAGGGAGGCTCCCCTTCTCAGCAGTGCTTTCAGGAGAGATCATTCAGGAAACCATTCCAGCTCCTGGGAGCTTTGCTAAATTTAAAGGGAGTGTTTTGGCTGGCAATCCCTCTCCCAGCGAAAGCGCTTCAAACAGCCAGCTTGAAAAGCAATATGCTTGTGACTGCATCAAATCCCTGATCCTGAGGAAGGTGCTGGGAAGTTCTTGAGCCCCACGGGTTTGGGATGGCACCATTGACCACCAGCTTCAGTTTGTCCTGAGCGCACCATGCAGGAACACCCCAAACAGCCTTTGGCTCTGCAAACACGTGACCTTCATTGGTTACCCAGCAGTCATCAGCCATGAAGGAACAGAAAGAAAGTAGGTACAGGTGACACATTATTCCAGTAGAAATGAAAATTGTTTTCCACATTATAACTGGATAACAGTAAAATATGGATAATAACACATGGATCATGTATCAGAAAAACATGGCAAACCTCAGTTAGGCAAAGCTTCCAGATTCTGCCTTTCTTGGAAATACTGGGAGTAACAATGTGCTGTATTCAGCTGAAATCTGTTCCTTTAAACCTTTGAATTTAAACAAAGCCTCCTAACAATAAATAGTCCAGTTCCCCAAATTTCTAGTGTCAAGCACAAATGTGAGCAGCTCTCAGTAAAACTGACTTTCCCTCCTATGAGCATTCCACTGGGCAGAGCCTGTGGGATCAGACCTTGGGGCAGGAACACGTGTTACCCAGCATATAACAAGTGGAATGAAAGACAATGGGCACTATAGGCCAGCAAACACACTAATTATATTAATAAAATGAAAGCTTAAATTTTGAAGCTAATCCTGGGCTATCATTTATAAAAGTTAACAGGGCATATTTAATTTAGGAATTGGCTAACACTTCTCTTTCCACCACTGAAACCTCATAAATGAAATATACTGGATCCCTGCCCAGTGCGGAAATAAAAGTTATGAATAATGTTTCTATCTCAATCATTGTCAGTGCTTTAATATTCCTAATTACTTTAAAAAGCTAAATATTCAATATAGGAAAAACCTTCTTTTTCTTTTATCTCCACTTGCAAGATTAGAGCAATTTAATAAGAGTCACTGGGTAGTTTTAGTCCACAAGACCATTCTGTACTTTGACATCTTATCCTTTGCTGGCCATTTTTATACAGAATGAAGTGCTTTTTACTCTGTGAGTGCCCATGTGTATAAATGTGTAATCTGTATCTGTATGTCCTTATTGTCATAGTCTTTTTATTATTATTATTTTTAACTTCTGTTAGTGCACGTGCACTGTACAAATACTCACTGGCAGCCTAAACTAAATCTAGTACTAAGAATAATAAAAACGTTATATGAGTTCCTGAGAATCTATGAAATATCTCACAATATATAGCATTTTTTTATATATTTTTAAAGACAGATATTCAATATATCATGATGACCAGTTTTTCCCTTGCCTGCATTCCAGGTAATCCCAAAATGTTGCTTCAAACCCCATAATATGGCCTTTGTTTCCGTCCTTGGAATCATATAATCCCAGAATTGTTTGTGACGGAGGGACCTCACTGATCATTTCATCCCAACCCCTGCCACGGGCAGGGATGCCATCCCCACACCAGGTTACTCAGGGCTCTGTCTAACCTGGGTGTGAACACTCCCAGGGCTGGAGCATCCACATCCCCTCTGGAATAAAGTCCTTCCCTGCTCCCTTCCCTATTCCCTTTTCTGCTGGAATCAAGGGGATATTCAGCAGAGGTGCAGACAAAACCCCAGGAACCCATCCAGGAATCTGCCCTGCTGCCTTCAGCCTCTGGTTGTGTTCACCCTCAGGCACATTTACCCCCCATTCCCTTGTAACTCCTCCCTCTATAGATCCCTTCTCTGTTACCTTCTTTTTCTTAAGATCCCAATCAATTTGGGAGAAAGGGAGGAAGGCAACACAAAACGAAGCGTCCATTCAGTTTCATTTCACAGCATCTCTACCCATGCAGCTTTCTTTACTTGCCTGGTGCACAAATTGACTCCATTTATCAAGCTTATTCCTGTTTTGTCAATAATGTCTCAGGCCTGTGTTACGTCACACTCGGATGTTTGTGCTGCCTGTTCCGTTCCAGCACGAACCAACCACTTCAACTCACCGTTCCCAATTAAGAGAGTTTAACAAACACAGCCTTGCCAGCTGAAAGAACTGAAAGCCTCAAGTGTGGATTAATTCCCTAGCAAAAGGTGCAGAACTCCCAACTCCCATTTCTCTAACTTTGGCAGTATGGATTTAAGGAATGGATTGTAAGTCAGAGGAGAGAATTTGGGCTGCCTGAAAAGTCAATGGCAAAACTCCCCCTGGCTTGAACAGGACAAGAATTCTATCTGGAGAGAGTGCTTTCCAAACACTCCAACAGGGTATTTCATGAAGAATGTAGAATGCGCTGTATTAAAGATTTGAGAGAAAAAAAAAATTCTTTATAGAGCTCTATTATCTGTACTGGTATCCTAATAACAGGAGCAAAAGCATTAACAGCATCCTCCACTTCATTTCACATTTCTTTGTAAAACGCAACCAAAAAAGTCCAATGTCATTATCCTGGGAAAGGGTATTTTCACATATTCATAGAATCACACAATGATTGGGGTTGAAGGGACCTTAAAGGTCATTTTGTTCCAACCCACTATGAGCTCTTACAAAATAACCAGCAGACAACCCTCATTTTTCCATTCAAATCATCCAAGTTCTGAGGCCACTGCTTTATAATACCTGCTTTTTAACAGCAAAACATATTTTAATCATATTTTGGTATCTTTACTCACCACTTGAGCAATCATTCCCTCCCCAGCCTGGTTCACAGTGACACGTGTCAGGAGAGACACATCTTCCATGCACACACTCCTCTGTGCACAGTGCTGTTGAGAGGAAACAACACACAGCTTTGTAAATATATTAAGTGGTTGCTAAACATACCCTAAACAATGCCTTAGAGAGCAATATTTTGTTTAAAAATATTAAACAAAACAAACACACAAAAAAATAATTACTCACAAGATTTAATTATTGCTAAGTGACCAAAATAAAATATAGGTCTCTTGACAGCAATAAATTCATTTGTCACTTCAGCCCTGTAATGAAAAACTCACACAGCAGAAATTCCTTTGGTTAGCAGTTTTGCTTCATAATAAAGTTTTTACCAAACTGACATTTATTATTATGATATTACAGAACAGCAGCTTCTTATATCGCACTCAAATTGCAACTGCTCATAAGACAAAATGGAGCTCAGTCTTGAAAGTATATTCAGATCCAAAATAGATTTCATTTTAAAAACAGCTCCAGGAAAATAAATAATTTTACTCCATGATGCAGTGGCTGTAAGTGCATTTTTGTCTTTTCAAGGTCAGCCAGTTTTCCATAACTACAGCTCTCTGTGTCACTGGTATAATATTGGAAGTTCAATATCCTCAAGTTCAAACCAAGACAAACAGGCTGCCTGAGGAACAGCTCATAGTTTTTAGGACTCCCTTTCCTGTGCTGTTTCAGTGTCTGACAGTTTCCAGTGTGTGCTCATCACATACTAAAGAACCTGGACAGCACTGAATAACTGCTTTAAAGACTGAACTTTGTTGCTTACTACCTTGTTTCCATTTTACCACTGAGGACACTGCCAAAAACTCCTTGTGTCAGAGATTCAAACTGGATGGTTAAGCTGGAACACATCACACCAACATGGACCAACATACATGAGATATTAAAAGTATGAAGCAGTGGCAATGAGGTCACTGTACTAAACTGTATATGCATGTATATAAAATACATTATATAGATCATATATAAACTATGGTTGTATATTCTGTGGGTTTATATCAGATGGAAAATGTGAGTTTATGAGTTTATTTAACCAAGAACTGCCTGAAGCTGGACTACAAAAGGGTTATCCCAAAGATAATTCCTTCCTGTTTAAACCAAGGCTAGCAAAGTTGATTTGGGAAGTAGCTTTGGGGTGCTGTAGTGAAAATGGGGCTGAACCAACCAATTCCTTTGAAATCAGTCAGCAAAGCTTCTGGAAGTTTCCCTGATCTGCAGGTGGAATGAAAGCTGGAGCCCTTTCAGTTCCCAGATCCCTCTTGCTCCAAAAGTTCTCCACCTCTGCCTTGTCACTTTGAATGACTCCTGCTACACCTGACACTGGCTGGACTCCCAGACTGGATCACACCTTGGACCCAGGCTGCCATCAAAGCTCATGGAAACATTTTGCTGTCTATTCTTTGGTTGGGTCATTGCAGACAAAACCCACTGAGCTGTTCACAAAATATTGAAATCCAACATCAAAATGCAGGTGAACTTAGAATAATCCTGTGGGACAAACTTTCCTGCTCTTTATCCAGCAGATCCCACGTGACCAGTGATTAGAACGCTGCCTCGTTAAAATGACTGCAAGATCTTTCTAAATTAATCACTTCCTTTCTACGTTTGCTGCATGTCAAAAATGCAATTTATTCTTATTCCATATCTTGTGTTTAGACAGTATTGCAGTGGGCATGAAATATTCATAGCTAATCTCTAGTCACTAATTGTCCTAATCTTTTGTGCATTTATTTTACTCGAGTTAGGCTTTCTGGAGACAGTGAAGCATCCTACTCTACAGCTGCGGGATGAAATTCAGGACAGGATATTAGATAAACAGGATATTCCAAGAAAAATATACACACCTTCCTACAATCATTTGTAAATGGCTCGTTATCCAGAACAAGAAGTTCACATATAGAACAGTCACAAATTTATAGGTTTTTATTCAAACCACAGTGTGCTAAAAGATACAGGGTATGCTGGGATAGGGATACACAGCTTTGGCTGAGAGTACATTTCTCAATGGTGTGACATCCTGGTTTCATAAGAGATGTGGATGTCAAAACTGAGATTTTTGCTGTTGCCTGCATGGACATTTGCAATAATAAATCACTCTAACATGTAAAATGTACAACATTTTTTACCCTTTTAACTCAGCCATGCTCTCACCTCAAGGCAAACATTGTGAGTAAGAAGGTTCATGGGGGACTGGTTCTTTACTCTTCCAAATAACAGAACTCCTGCACATTACTGCTCTAAATTTAGTTAATTTCCACACAAATTTATCACACCTCAACTATGTTAACATAAATATGAAATAATAGTAATTAATTAAGCAATGAAGTCTCACTGATCTCTTGTCTAGCTGCAGTCCTATGGGAAGAGTGCAATATGAGACTTAGCAGCAAGACTCAAGAGAGAACTCCTCATTCTAAAGCACTCAGTCACACAAAAAATAATAAAAATATATTATAAAGAACTTGTTGTCAGGTGTTCTGAAGTCCCACATTGCTGAAGATGGTGAGGTTTAATGAGCAATTAAAGATTCAAGTAAGGTGAAGATGCTTCTTGGAACCGTGGGCTCTCTCATCTCTGGTTGATTAATTGCTAAACAAGTAGCTGTGAGCTCAGAGCTCACTAGTGACTAATTCCAAATGTGGGGGTCACAGAAAACCCCCTTTTTTAAACAGAGAAGCTTTGACAGAGGTAATTTTATTTAAAGTGGCAAACAATCAGACTCCTGCACTGACTGCTTCAAATCAGGCTTATAAAGGTCATATTAGGGTACAGCTCTAAAGTTTTACCATAGCAAATAAAATTTTGAATTTCTCCTATAAAAGGGAAGTCTTGCCTTGCTCAAGTCTTTAGAGTTTAAATTAATTTTTCATTCTATTAACATTCAACATAATAGGATACAATGGTCCCCAAGGCATTCTTCATAATACACTTTGTACAGTGGTTTGCAAATGATCCTACTAGTTAATGGAACTATAAAAATTACTTGCACATAAAGGTCAAGAAAAATAAAGATAAGTACATACTTTCTGACATGTCCTGTTCAACACTCAGCTAAAGGCCCCTGGAGTAAAGAAAACTTGTCCTAATGCAAGGAATATCATTTCTCCCAGTATAATAGCCCAAGCACTTCAACCTTTGGAATTCCAGACTTTTATGTCTGCATTTTCCCTCGACCACTTCACTTGAGCAATCCAGCACCTCATTGATCAGTGTGTTATTAGCATTCTTGGCATGAGTTTGACATCAGTTTGTAGTTTGATTCAGCCTGGTAATAAAATGACCTACATCAAAGCCCTGCCAAAATGCCATCTTTGTCGCAATGTGTTTAGCATGAGTTATTTGCCCACATTCAAGGTTACACAGCAACTGCTCCTTATCATGCAATAAAGGCAACAAAAGGGTTCTGTAACAATCCATTTGATGCTTATCACTTACTTTATAATTACAGACTGGGCTTTTTTTAGCATATAAGGTCAATCCTCAGGGAAATAGACCTAAAGATTAAACTCTTTTCACACCTGAAATGGCTGCACTGAGGAATGGATGTTAGAGAAATGGATTCCTCTAACACTAGTACTTATTCTTTAATTGTTGTCCAGAATTTGAATTCAGATATGATAAATGGTTTGTCTGTGTCTCCTCTCCACAAAGGTGTGAAGTGGCCAGAATATTGCAATGTGGAGAAGAGCTCAGTGGAGCAGACTGCAGAATATTTCCACTGCAGAGTTCCTTCAGCTAAGGAGCACCACAGGGAATTCATCCTAGAAAAAGCAGGGATGGAGAATTGCTCTCTCTTCCTTGATGCTGCATTCCTCTGTACGGACCCAAATTATGGTGTTGCAGGGTTTAACTTTGTTGTTACACCCTCTGTGCCACCCTGCTCATCACACTATCCACCCACTGACTGCTGGCACCCACTGAGCTCCACAATCAACCTTTCCCAGAGGCTGAGAGGCATTTAGGGAAGAGTTTCATCCGAGGGGAACAAGTATGGAGTGATTAACTTGAAAATTTTTCATTGTCCAAAAATATAACCTGTACATTTATTTCACAAAAGACAGAGTCACAAACAACCTAATTTGTGTTTGCACTGGAGTGTGGTAACATTTGTGGTGGTCCTTAGAACCTGTGGGAGTTCACAGCTACCAACCCAGCAACTTCCATCTGCCATTGTCCCACTTTGCTGTGCCAGACAAGCAAAATCCCTCCCAAACAAAGAGCAGGGTAATTACAAAGTGTGAAGGACCCAGAGCAGCACAGAAATCAGGCTCCACGAGCTGTGCTTGCTCCCAGCAGCGCATGCTGCGGGAGAGCCGTGCCAGAGCATTCCGTACACGCTGGATTTCCTGGGCTCTGTGGGATTCCTGCCCAGGATCATAGGGCAGCCAGGAGGTGACAGAAAGCATAAATAATTGGAGATACATTATGATAATGGAAAACATTGCTAAATGGAAATATGGATGCTGCTATGAGACACAATGAGAAATTCAGGCACTCGCCTGGAACTGCACAGAATGAATGGGTTTGTTTGGACTGCACACGTGGCACAAGGTCATTGCCTCAAAATATCTTCTTTTCTCTGTCTTACCTCTGCCAGGTTTTCTTCACTGTACACTGATCTTGCCCAAACTCTGACCAATTTCATTTATTTCTGTGAACCAATGATAAACCTGCATTTTTTTCTTTTATGTTGCTGGTATTTTAACTTCAGGTTATTTAACCAGTTCACCCCATGCTTGGTAGTTGTTGAACTAAACAAAGCAGAAATTTACTGGAAAAAGTGATGTTTTCCTTCAATATTTAATACGTGTCCCTAAAATAATTTGGGCCATTTTAGCCCATTCCTCCATTCCCCCGTGCCACTTTTAGGGTAAAGAGTGATTTTGTTAGGTGAAATAGCTGTTATCCTATGTCTAGTGGTTTCAGATAATGCAGAGAGGTCAAAGTAGATGAAAAAAGATGAAAAAGATTCTTGCTCCTTATCCATTAGGAATCTGTTCACTCAGGGCCTCTCTGGTGCTTCCATCTTAATGTACTGGCCTGG